ATCATAAGCAAGCATTCTCCAATGCCAGTGCCATTCAGCCAGCTCTACAATCTGTAAAGGGAGAACTAATGGAAATGAAAGCAGATATGCAAGAATTGCTGGGAGTAATGGAACACACAGGGAAACTAGCAAGGAGACCTTTAATGAAAAACAACCAGCTTGACCACAAGTCAAGAAGACACATAAGAGATTTGCTCATTGTTGTGTGTTTGAGTTATTGAAGCCTTATTGAGTTATTGAACCATGCTAAATAGTTCCTTGTAATTAAAAGGGGCAATCTTACCACATTTCCCTCCAGTTGCACAGACTGAAAACTGGTTATGTTCAACAATGAGTGAAAATCAATTGCCTGCATTGTGTCTGCTGGCTGTCCAGGCAGACAAGTTAAAGACCTATCCCAAAGACAAATGTATAAGAGACTTCATCAACAGTTTTGGCTAAGATCCTTAAAGAACTCCATTTTTGTTCAAATAAATGTATCCTTTTTATTATGTTTTCTTTTCTGTTACAGTGAGACTTCAACAAAGAATGTATATTGTCTTCAGACATACCTTGCTTCCAACAGCAAAGGCAAATTTTATGTACAAGTTATAATCAACAGTTTTGGCTAAGATCCTTAAAGAACTCCATTTTTGTTCAAATAAATGTATCCTTTTTATTATGTTTTCTTTTCTGTTACAGTGAGACTTCAACAAAGAATGTATATTGTCTTCAGACATACCTTGCTTCCAACAGCAAAGGCAAATTTTATGTACAAGTTATGCAATGAAATGTCAGGAGCATGGCTTTAACTTAGTTGAGAATCCTATAATCTTGTCATTCATTAGACAAATGAAAGGTTTATGTCCTTTTAGTGCCTATGAAGGTTGAGAGGATGTGACTGGCCCAAACTCACCCAGCAACTAATTGTGGGTGAGGTGGGATTCAAACCTGGGTCTCCTCAATCTGACTCAGGCACTGTAACCATGACACGGTACTGGCTGTAATAGCCACAGGAGGTTCTTAACCCCCTTCCCATTTTGCATAGGAGGGGATACCATGTCTTTCTGATATACCTGTCTCCTCAGTGTTGACATAAAGCAGCTTGCATTATTTTCCTTTCCGCCATGTTATCCTCACAGTAACCCTGTTAGTTTGGTCTGTCTGAGAGCATATAACTAGGCCAATGTCAGCCAGCAACCTTCCATGGCAGAGTGGGAACCTGAAGTGGGATCTCCTTTTCTGATATCCTAACCATTGTACCACACAGGTATTGATAGGTCAGGGAAGGTGTTAAACTGATTTGCATTGTCACAAAGGAGTCATTTTCCACCTTCCCTGTATGCAATGCTTGCACTTTCCTGGCTTTTACTGAGTGAATCTTTGCTTCCACTTTAAAGAGTAGAGGACAGCTATGGAGCTAATCTGTGTCAGGATGGTATCGTTCCCTTTATTTTTGGCATTGCAACTCCATCATCATCCTGAATTCATTAGCCAATGTTGAGTCACCTAGCTTTATTTTCATATGAGATATGCCTAGGGAGGGGCACAAACTGGAAAAATACAGTTCGGTTTGTAGCATACCAAGTTCATGAACCCCGAACTGTAACAAACTTTTAAGAGCTAAATGAATCTTTTAAGTTCATGAGGTTTGTGATGCAATAGAATTCTGCCAGCATTCTAGAGACACCAAACTCACAGGGGATCTCTGGCTGACTCTTCTCTACCTTCCCTCGAAGTTTGGTGAGAATTGGATTGATAGGGTCTGAGTTATGCACCCCCCAAAAAAGGTGCACCCAGGAAAGTGCTTTCTGGGGAAATGACAGTTGTACGTTCAGAAGGTTCAGGAGTGTATAAAATGGATCATGTGCAAGCTAGAGACATCAAATTCACAGGAGACCTCCCCCTGAGGCTGCTCTACATGGTCAAGGTCAGTGAGAACTGGTCTTCAGAGATCCAAGTTATGCCTCCCAAAGAAGATACCTCCAGAAAGTACTTTGGGGGAAAATGTCAGGTGCAGGTTCAAAAGTGCAAGCTAAACACATCAACGGTACAGGGAAGCTATTCATGTTTCCAAATCTGGAGAATTCTGTCCTCCCTGTTGCTTTGAAGTTGCTTTGATGATTTGAAGTTTGGTAAATATTTTTGTTTGAGTGAAGACAGTCTGTCAGGAAATATATCCATTCAGGAACTGGCATGAATGCCATAAACTGCTCGAAAGCTCATGGAAGTTTTGTGCCAGTTGACCTGCCATGAACTTCAGTTTGTGAACCACAAACGAGCCAAAGTTCAGCATGATCTTTAGATCATGATTGTATTGTGCTCATCCCTAGATATGCCTGCCACATTGAACCATATATTCTAGTGGAGGAGGGAGGTGTTTATAGATGACCTTGACTAGAATTTTGAAATTCCCTGTCATAAGCACAGTGAGCAAACAGAGGAAGCAAGTGTGCACCCTGTATTTTGTAAGTATCAAAGGATCCATCCGTCCTCTCTAACAGGCATAACTCATCTGAAATTCAAATATTTCTTTTTAAAAAGTCACTGTCAACAACCCCATGATGTCACCTCTTGGAAAACCTGGATTCCCTATGAATTGCTTGAAAGTCTTTCATAAAGCCATAGAGTGTTTTTTTTATTTATAGAGATGAAAGATTTCAGTTCTGGGAAACCCAAAGGTGATATAATTGTTGGGATAGTTTGTTGAATGCCTGCACCGGTCTAGCAATAAAGAGTCCAGTCCAAAGAAGTCTACTGTCCACACGGTTAAGTGTAGAAAGTATTTTCAAGTTTATTTACAAAGTTGTTGGTGATTCTGGTATACATGAGCAAGAAGCAAAGTGCTTCACCAAGCATCTGCATATCAAGAGGGAACAGAATAGACTGTACAGTAACTACATATATACATGTCAGTAGCCAATCAGGACCTTGTGCTGAGTCATTCTGACTTCAGCTCTCCAGCACTGGCTAGAACTAGTTTGCTCCAGTCTTCTCTGTTGATTAGGAGCTGTCATCTGTCAGGCAGATGAATAGGATCTAGAACTGCTTATGTCTTAATACATCAACAATCATACCATCACTGAGAGCCCCCCTCCCATGGGCCTTCCCCTCCTATTCTCCTCATGGCTTCCAGACTGGGCCTAGCAAACTTAGTTTGTGATAGATATGTAGTTATAGACATTGGGTTTCATCTAGCCAGATATTTTACTCAATCTCACTGAATGCCCTTCTATAGCTCACACATTTTTCTGGACATGCCAAGCACAAGATCCACATAATAGTTTTTTGTACTTGGTCAAAGAACATTCCTCCTTTGTCAGCATCAGAAAAGATGGTTGATTCTAACAAAATGTCAAGATGGAATATTTGATCATTTTGGGGAAATATTTCATGAAACTAAAGCCCTCCGCCTCCTTCAGATGTTCTACATGAAGAACTTGGAACTATAATTTTTCTGGAATTTTGAAGAAATACATCTGTAATGAGCCTGGAGATTTCCATAAATTATACCTGTTCTCCAGACTAAAGAGATCAATTCCCTCAGAGAAAAATGGCAACGTTGGAAGGTGAACTCCATGGTATTACACTACACTGAGGTAACACAAATCTACAAAGACCAACATCTCCACCTTCTACCCCACATCTCCAGGAATTTCCCAATGCAGAGTTGGCAACCCTATTCTGATAGAAGAAAATAAAGTTTTTGTCACTTCTTTCTCCTTATTAATTGATCCCTGTTGTTTAACTCAGGCCTCAGAATGATGATGTAGCATTTAGGGAAAAAGATACAACCCAGTAAGCCAGCACTAGAGGCCAAGATAGAAAAGATCTCCACAGCTGCCATTGATTTCCCTTTGGTGCTCAAGTACGTTGGAACAAAGGACAACCAAACACTGCAAAAGACCAACATGCTGAAGGTGATAAATTTGGCTTCATTGAAACTGTCAGGTAACTTCCTGGCAAGAAAAGCCACTATGAAGCTGACAATGGCCAGGAAGCCCAAATAACCCAAGACACAGTAAAACATGGCAGCTGAGCCTTCATTACATTGCAGTATGATTTCCCCCGTAACTGAATGCATGTCCGTATCAGGGAATGGAGGGGAAGTACATAGCCAAAGAAAACAAATGCCTGCTTGACTAAAGGAGCAGAAAAGGACAACAGAACTTGCCATTCTTTTCCCATTCCATTTCCTTAGTGTAGATCCTGGTTTGGTAGCCATGAAGGCTAAAACTACAATGATGGTTTTGGCCAACACACTGGAAAGGACAATGGAGAAGACAATACCAAAAGTTGTTTGTCGGAGAAGGCAGGTCACTTGTAAAGGTTTTCCAATGAAGAGCAACATGCAGGGGAAGCAGGAAAAAAGGGAGATGAGGAGAATGTAGGTGAGGTTCCGGTTGTTGGCTTTGACGATGGGAGTCTCCTGGTGCTTTATGAAAATTCCAAGCACCAAAGCTGTGATCCCAGCCAAGGTAACAGCCATCATAGTTAAGGTGATTCCTAATAGTTCTTTGTAAGAGAGGAAACTGAGGACCTTGGGAATGCATTGATTTTGGTTGTTGTTGGCATACTGATCTTGTGGACATTTGATACAGGCATCTGCATCTAGGAAAAAAGGAGTTGCCATTTAATATCTCAAAACACTGGTCAATGTCCAGAGAAAGGAGCCCTAAAACATTGCATAGTTAATATTATACTTTTCAAATAAAGGCTTCAGTGGAACGGTTGACATAAAAAAGGGAGGAGGTTCATGCAGGTGATCTGAACTAGTGAGACCTCCTTTTACTTATTGCTATTACAAATAAATGTGCGGTTTGCACTTTGTAGACTCATGAACCAGGAAGCCTTCCTTCAGATCTCCTCCCAGTGTCCCTTGGACAGCTGTTTTCTGAGCCCTCTATCTATAATTATAATGGGTTAAACTTTGGATTGCCAATGGCCCACTTTGTTGGCAGTGTTACACATGATGTTACATCACTTCTAAGTGACCATCTGCAATGTCCTAGGAATACTTTACAATCTATATGGTCTGTATCATAGATATATGGAAAATTTGTAGAGCGACACATAGGGGGAGCTGTTATGTCCCATCCTCACCAGTGTTCTCCCTCCCCAGATCCTACTGCTGAGGGGCTGACAACCCTAGTTTATATGTCTTATTAAATGGCTGGTTTCCATTATTCCATTATCCAGCTCTTCACTTTATGTTTTTTGCTGTCAGCTCGCAGCTGACTTATAGTGATGCTGTAGGGTTTTCAAGGCAAGAGACATTAAAAGGCGGGTTGCCATTGCCTTCCTCCATGTCACAAAACTGACATTCCTTGGAGTTAATCCATCCTTATACTAGCCAGGAGTGACACTGCTTAGCTTCCCAAATCTGATGAGATCGGGCTAGCCAGAGCCATCCAGGTCAGGTCATTTAACTTTCATTTATTTTCTGTTAACTTTTAAATGGAAGCTGCAACAAAGGCAGATCCCTGACTATCACTTTTTGGGCAAAATAACCCTGGCTTGACATTTATCCAGTGTTACCACCAGCATTCTTTATAGTGGACTAAAAATTAACTGTACTGAAAGGTGCCAAGTCTCATTCCCCTCCCCCCAACTTAGTAACCAAACAGCTAAGGTGGTTGGGTGGTTGTTCTCAGCACCATGGGTGTTGACTCCCTAAACTACTGTAACACTCTCTACATGAGGCTGCCTTTGTCGTGGATTTGGAAGCTACAGCTAGTGCAAAATGCCGCAGCCAGGCTGTTGATGGGTCTCCCTAGATGATACCACATCCAGCCTGTGCTGAGGACACTGCACTGACTGCCAATAGCATACCGAGTCCACTTCAAGGTGCTGGTTCTTACCTTTAAAGCCCCATATGGCCGGGGTTCAACATACCTATGTGACCACGTTTCCCTGTATATACCCCAGAGAGCACTACGGTCTTGGTCTCAAAATCGGTTGTCCCTCCCTGGCCCGAGGGAGGCCAGGCTAACTGCTACTAGGGTCAGGGCCTTTTCGGTGGTGGCTCCTACCTGGTGGAACAAGCTCCCGGAGTAGATCAGGGCCCTGCAGGACCTTTCGCAGTTCCGCAGGGCCTGTAAGATGGAGCTCTTTCATCGGGCATATAATTAGGGGCCGCTGCCGCCATAGCGCAATGCCCACAAAGTCATCATTGAGCAGCTGCCATAAGAGTTGACGAGCAGAGTAACATCTAGGCTCTTTTATGCTGGAAGCTGGAAATCTATCTGAAAGCATTCCTCTTGATTGAATTTGAACCGCTGCCAGCATTTTGTAATGTATTATATTATGTTTTAATCTGTATTATGTATGTTTTTATTATGTATTTATGTTATTGGAAGCCACCCTGAGCCTGCTTGTGGGGAGGGCGGGGTATAAATCAGACAATAAATAAATAAATAAATAGAATACAATGGAAAGATTGCGCCGCTGCTGCGGCACGACTCTAGAAAGAAGGAACACAGGGGTGGGAGCTGGGTGCAGGGCTTGCTGCCACCGCCATTTGTGCTTGCTCCTGGGCTGCCGAAGCAGCACTGCAGTGCGCTCCGGCTCCAAACGACCCTTGTGTAAAATCATAGGCTGAGTTCAGACTGGCAGTTTGGCCCAATATAGGAACATTTCACAAGCGGATTAAAGGGGCCGGTTCACACAGGCACAGCTGTCAGGCATTCCCCAGCCTTACTCAACCCATCCTATGATGATTCCCTACCACGTTAAAAAAATTCCAGGTGAAAGTGGTAGCAAACCCTGGAGAGCGCGTTGATCCCACTTCTCGGAAATGTGCACACTAAAAGCTTGAGAAATAGGTGCATAGGCACATAGGTGCATATCGCTGGAGTGAAACAAAGCCACTTATAACTGTGCCTCTGCCAGGGGTGAGCCAACAGTGCGAACGCTCCCTTGGGTCTCCTCCCCAGTATGCTCCCACATCAGTAGGTGCAGTGCGACCAGGAATCCCCGGCACAACTTGGTCAGGTGTTGTTTTTTTGCCCCGCCTCCCTCCTGCTTCATACTGCCAGTCTGTCCTCACCCATAGGCTCTCCAGTGATTCCTGGATGGGTACAACATCACCTGTGGATATTCCAAATCTGTGGCATAACACTGTTGATGAGAAAGTAGTTTTTAAAGTTCATTATTGACAGCTGGTGAATGGAGCAGTGGTCAGCAGTAGGGGTTCATGGCAGGTGCTTTCCCACCATAATAGGTAATTTGCAAATCTAGGCCTAAATTATCCCAAAATAAGGCCTGTTTATTACAACACACAGGCAACATAGAGGGTGCAAAAACAGATCTCTTTTCACAGCCAGTTCAAAGGATAATCAGAGCGGTCATGTTTGTCCCCTTATAGTAACTAGACAAGCATGTTCTCTTCATGTTGCTTGAAATGGGAGTTGGGGGTGGGATAGCAGCACTCAGTAGATGGGTGGGAAAGATAGTGCCTGCTTATCAACTTCTCTTTGAAGCACCCCTGCCCCGCTCGGCCAGTGATTTCTCACACTGATTTTGAGGGGCTGGCAAGATGAAATTCATATGTTGAGCACAAATTATTCAGTAGAGATTAATGGAAAATCTGATTATGCAATCTGATTTCAACCTGATTTCAATGCAATATTGATCCCCACATTTGACTATTCTTTGGCTCGAAAGCCAGATCTATGGAGCTTTCAGTTTCCATTTCAAACAATATCTGCTGTTTATATTCTTAAAAAAAAAAGATTTCAGGAAAATTATAACCACCCAGTTGTACTTTGTATTGCACAATACATATAGAAGTGCTTCTACGGGTTTGTCCTTTTACGATGCTTTCAGCTTCAGATTAATAAACGGTTCTCAAAATAACTTCAGTCATTTACAGATTTCTTTTTGTAACAGCAAACCTCCTGGGCTGCAAATAAACCTAGAAAATCATTGGTATTACATTGATTGTGGAACAATTCAATTCTTTTTTTTTTCTTCCTGCAGAATACCCCAGAATGCATAGAGTAGTAGAAAAGTGGCATGACAACTTGGTCCTTTTAGGGCATTTTCTGATGTGCATTAGGAAGCCATCACCAAAGTAGCATGCACTGACCACCTAATTGTGCATTTTTAATAGCAGATACTTCTTTTTGTTGATGGTGATTTAAGAAATAGTGGTCTTTTTTAAATGTCAGACTACAGACAGGTTATTTCTAACATGTATTGAGGTTGGAAAGTCTCATGTCTTGAAAATGGAAGCCAAATGAGTTCTTCGGATTGGATCACAGGTGTGATACACTACACTTAAGAAGGGTTAGTTGCTCCAATTAATGCAACTTTGTAGCAATGTATGAACAAGTCATGTAGGGCATCCAAATGTAGTGCAAGGAACAGCAGCAAGGGATGCAAGTTACAGATACCTGAGGGATGCTTTGTTGGAATCTTATGAGTCAGCAGCGTTCCCTTCTTCGGGAAAGAAGGAAGGGAACATTCTACAAATTATATTTTTCTCCCCAAGATAATTTCTGACTCCAAGAGAAGGCTTGATAATCTTATTATTCAAAGATGAGAAATAATGAGTGATTACCTGATCTTCCCATTACCTCAATATCAGAGACTGTGAAACCTATCGTTATATCAGTTTTATGTAATGTACTCTTACGAGTAACATCTCCATACATTGTGTGCCCTACCCTCATCCTGAGAAATCGTTCCTTCTGGACATGGAATACAATCATAGCAGCAAAAGGCCTGTCCTTCCTTCTTTTTCCTGCTGTAGCCAGGATGACAATGTTCATTGCAGAAGGAAAGGGGCACCACCTACCCATAAGAGAGAAAAAATGATTAATATCACGTACATATTCACTGAGAACAAATGCTATTCTGACAGCTCTTACACTGTTGATATGGAAAATGGCAACATAGAATTCTCCTTCTATAAAGGAGATTATGAGCATTTTCTTGCTTGACAGTTGTCGGTAAAATGTGATAAATTCCTGATACAACAATTACTAGGGTTAAAATATTGTTGGGTGTTATAGATGAATCCGTGAAGATCACTGTTTCCTTTCAGAAAAGAATAATTGAAAGTTTGGATTATTCTTTGACATTTTAACACAATTAAAAGAGAAATGATTTCAAAATGGTTAAACTAGCTTCTATGGTTGAAGCACATACATAGAAAAGAAAATTAAGCTGTTGGGAAGACAGAGATAAATGCTGAGATGGAACATTTCACTCAATTGTGCCCAATTCCGCTTCTTACTACAACCCCCTTCCCACATGGCTTTTGTATATACAGGTCCCATTATTACTTACTCAAATATTTCTATAAACTCTCCCCATATGTCAAGAGCAGGCAGAACTCTAAAACAAATGACATATAACTTTTCCTGCCTTTTGTACTCTTAAAAAGTTGACTCACCTGGTTAAAGGTTCTGTGCCATGTTATTAGATCCTCATTGAGGGTCAGCTCATTGCCTTGAGGAGCCTGAGGATCCAAATTTCCCACCTGTACTCTTGCAAAAGATCCATTTGGGAATGTTACCCAGTTTGTAACATCAAACCCAACTTTCAGTTCTCCATTTTCATCAAAACACACAGTCTCTCCAGCACTATTATTGAACATGATGCTCCTTAGAAAATGATGCAGCTAGTGTAGAGGGAAATGGTAAAGAAAGAATAATCAGATGCTGAAATCATTATGATGATCTTTGCATAGCTGGCCAACTAGGAATAGATGAATCTGTCCAATAACTCTTAACTAAACAGCGTAAAGTTTACATGACCACAATTTGTGTGGAATTGTGGAAGAGATGGTAAGATCACTGAATGCCATGTGTGTCTGCATGAAAAATGTCTTCATCAGATCAGAGAAGACAATCAGGCTGTTCTTTGATAACCAGGCATTTAGGAGTTTGAGGAGTTGGTATGTTCTGGTTTAGATTAGAGTACTCCTCCAAAAGATTTACCTTGGTTGTGTTGCCAGACTGAAGTTTAGAACTCTATGACTCATAGAACCTTTCACCAATATTGATTGATCTATCAGGCCTGACCTTGCCTTTAGAGGCTTCATGTCGTCATGGCTGAGATGCTAAAGTTGCTTCCAGGTTGGTGAGATAAATTGCAATGTGTACAAGTGCTCTTCAGATTTAATATTGATGTTTTAATTAATTTAGGTACTTCATATTACTATTTAATATATTAAATACTGGGTTCTAGAAGCATTGCAGTGATCAGCTCAGGTTTATTCAGTGATTTCAGCAAACTACAAGGCAAGACTCCAGAGCCTCAGCTCTGTTAAATAGCATGCAATTGCCACACCCAACCACACCCCATTCCCAGTGATAATGTCAGCTTCTGCAGTAACTACTCAGATGCAATATTCCTTTAGCAAGTTTATTGATCAGGTATGGCTTCTGGTTAGTTGAACACCTTTGCCAGAACTAATGGCTAATAATAAAATACACATTGCAGGACCATTGGTCCAGCCTTCATTCATGCGTCACACTCTCATCAAGCACTTACAGGTCAAGACTGAATAATAATGACCACACTAGCATATCTTAGTTTAAAGCTCCCTCAAGGCCATGAGATCCAGCCATGGCTTTCACTCCCTAAGAGATGAGGGGGTGTTCTTGTGAGAAGAATTACCCGAGCTGCCTAATCTATGAGTTCACACAGACACATCTATTCACTCACCAGCCCCTCCCTGAAGAATGTCAGGGAGGACACTAACACAATTAACAGAGCCTAACACAGGTGTCTACAAGGGGATGAGGCAAGCGGGGGGTTTACAGAAGCAAAGGGTAAAATTAAAAGCTAGAGGTTACTACAAGACAACAATAGCTTATGTACATCAGTGAACCAATATATCCATCACAAGGTAAGGGTCCAAACCTGACAGATCCGCCGCAGGGCTCTTTTTGTAGCCGGTACTCATTTGCATATTAAGCGACACACCCCTAATGTAGCCAATCCTCCAAGAGCTTACAGTAGCTCCTGTAAGAAGAGCTCTGTAAGCTCCTGGAGGATTGGCTACATTAGGGGTGTGTGGCCTAATATGCAAAGGAGTTCCTGCTACAAAAAGAGCCCATTTGATTGGTTTATTCCAGAGCCCTGGTCAGCTATTGTTCTTGTCCTCCAAGTTCAGCCAGTCTCTGGGGTGATTCAATCAGGGATGATTCAATCCCAATACTTAACAGAATACTTCTGCTGTTTTAACAGCTTGTGTACTCTGATCTCTCTGGTTCAATGGTTCCATCTGCATTTATTATTTGTGTATGTTAGGTACACTGTGGTTTTACAGGGCATGTGTCTGGAAAGATACTTCACACATCTTGAGATGGAGAACTGCAACAGAAATATTCAAACTAAGATAAAATATTCAAAATATCCAGATATTCAAAACGAAATACATAATTCAAGTATGCACTGTAAATAGGAGGGTGCCATTGAGATGCAATTACCTGCCATGGTTGCACATTATAGAACTCTGGACTCCTTACATCTTCTCTTGTCCTGTGTCTAGATCTGAATATATGGAAAGAATGCAAAGCATATGCCACTGCATAGACAGCATTGTAGACATTGTAGCTGTGACCAGTTATGCTCATTTCAAACAAAATGGCTGGAATAGAATACAGCTTCTCTTCTCCAGAGCACGTTCTATTGTTGTCCCCATGAGTACTGGGATTTCTGAGTGAACAGCTGAATGCCTGCTCCCAGAAGTCCTGGATAAACCCATCTCCTTTTGCCCAGAAAGGTCTTATGGACTGCAGAAATGTTTGGAATCCTGGTGGCTGACTGGAGTGAACTGCAAGCGATAGAGCACCATGGAAGGTTTCTATATCCCAAGCCCTTTGGACAGAGACTGATGCAAAGTCCCAGTGGCATGTAATAATCCACACTTTATGGAGGGGTGGGAATGAAATGAAGGGACCTAAAAACAACAATATTCTCAAACTGAATATGGATACATTATCTCCATATACAAAGCATACATTGGCTTTGCTTTGAGCATAAACATTAAAGTTCTTGTGCTGCCTTAAAATCACATCCAGCATATCATCAAAATAAGTCTGTTGTGGTAATCGTACTGTGAAATTAAAACAGATGCCATTCTCAGAAAGCATTGGCACCATGATTTGCATGAACCTTTCCCCCTTGTCATCATCAGCTGCAAACAACACGGTCCATGTCCATCTGAAGTGGTGAAATAGCCGGATAATGCCCATATATTGAGTGGCTTCATTGGGGACCATCTGATACATGGAAGCAAGCAGCCATTTGTTATCCTGCACTGGGTAAAATGATCCATAAGTGAGCTGGGGGGGGGAAATATTTTTTTTCAGAAAGAATGAAGCATACCATTCAGTCATATCTCAAAGGAGTAAGATTTCCACAGCCCTTTATGGATGACCTACCTGTGGCATCTTGTAAATGGTGACTGTGTTGGCAATATGGGCAGAGGTTTCTGAACTCAGTCCTCCAATGACTGCAACGAGATTGGACCATGTATCACACTTGAAATTGGGGACAAATTTGTTGTGTGAAGAAAGCAAACTCAAGGTAGCTTTAGAGGTCATCCTTGCATTGAAGTAGCTGTTGAGGATGTGGAAGCCCAAGCTGTTGTTTGGTAAAATGCTGGGATTCTCGTTGATCTCTTTTACAGCAAAAGCCAAGGCCAAGTTGTGCTGGTAGTTCTTTGGCACCGATCTAGAATGAGAGTTAAAGACTACTTTTGATAAAAGAAGAAAAAAATATTCCCCTTGTTTATACTTCATATTTCCTCCTTCCTAAATGGAGGCATTTGGGGTGCCAGACCTGACCTCCACTGTCAATTCCTTTTTTCCCGTTTGAACTATGATGAGTAGCTGTGTGTATAATCATGCTTATTATGGTGCTAATGGACAGTCCTTTAGCAGCCATAGACTCACTCACTCACGTATCCTTTCACTGCCCAAAACATACAGCTGGGAGAGAAAAATTATTGGAAAAATGGCTATTGAAATTCTCACCTTTTCCAGAAGCTACAAGATTGAGACTCCTGTTGAGTAGTTGGTGCCAAAATTGCATAACAGATGTGGCGCATTTCTCCTATACTGTTTTCTTAAATGTTTAAAATCTTTTAAAATTGTTTTAAAATCTTTTTAAAATCTTTTATGGTGTATGGCTTATGAGCTTTTAAAACCTAATGAACTGAAGTGAACTGAGCTTATTATGGTGCTCCACTGATTTCCGAAGAAGGAGTTATTTTATGTCCTTGAATTCTTTCAACTTTACTGCAAAGCTTGCTCATTCCACTCACCATTCTATTAGCCAAACCTATGCTAAAATTTCTGCCCACAACTTTTGATTGGGCTATGATTAAGTTAAAGAAGACATTTTCCTCTGAAAGCTAAGTCAATGGTATGAGAAGGGATGAGTTGGGATGCACTATTTATGAATGAACGCCCGTTGGCTCAGGGTGGTTGTGATTTGCCCCTCATGATCATGAACAACCCTTCCTATTCCATCAATAATTATTATGGCCTATCCAATCCAGTGATCAGGCCTAATTGTTCCTCCCTTCCACTAACTAGAAGAAAGAAGCAAAAACCAAATCAAGTCATAAGAACATAAGAGAAGCCAATGTTGGATCAGGCCAATGGCCAATCCAGTCCAACATTCTGTCACACAGTGGCCAAATATACCAGGTGCCATCAGCAGGTCCACAGGTGGGGTCAGGACACTAGAAACCCTCCCACTGTTGTCCCCTTCAAGAACCAAGAATACAGAGCATCACTTGCCCCAGGGTTCCTATCTATACCTTGTGGCTAATAGCCACTGATGGATCTCTGCTCCATATGTTTATCTAATTCCCTCTTGAAGCTGTCCATGCTTGTAGCCGTCACCACCTCCTGTGGCAGTGAATTCCATGTGTTAATCACTCTTTGGGTGATGAACTACTTTCTTTTATCTGTTCTAACCTGACAGCTCAGCATTTTCATTGAGTGCCCACAAGTCCTTGTATTGTGAGAAAGGGAGAAAAGTACTTCTTTCTCTACCTGCTCTATCCCATGCATAATTTTGTAAACCTCTATCATGGCACCCTTCAGCTGTCATTTCTCTAAGCTAAAGAGCCCCAAGCACTTTAACCGTTCTTCTTAGGGAATGTATTCCAACTCTGTAGTTCCAGTTGCCCCTTTCTGCACCTTTTCTAGTGCTATAATACCCTTTCTGAGGTGTGGTGACCAGAATTACACACAGTATTCCAAATAAGATTGCAACATCGATTTATACAGGGGCATTATGATCCTGGCTGATTTGTTTTCAATTCCCTTCCTAATAACCCCCAGCATAGCATTGGCTACTTTTATTTCAGTTGCACACTGTCTTGACTACGACTCCAAGATCTTTCTCTTGGTTAGTCTCTGCCAGTTCAGACCCCATCAACATGTATTTATAGTTAGGATTTTTGGCCCCAAGATGCATCACTTTGCACTTGGCCACATTGAATCCCATTTGCCATGTTGACACCAACTTGCCCATCCTCAACAGAGCCCTTTGGAGTGCTTCACAATCCTCCTTGGTTCTCACCACCCTGAACAATTTAGTGTCATCCACAAATTTAGCCACTTCACTACTTACTCCCCATGCCAGATCATTAATAAACAAGTTAAAAAGCATCGGACCGAGTACTGAGCTCTGTGTTTTCTCACTGCTTACCACCCTCCACTGTGAAAACTGCCCATTTATACTCACTCTCTGTTTCCTATTACTTAGCCAGTTTCTGATCCACAAGAGGACTTGTCTTTTTATCCCATGACTATTGAGCTTACTTAGGAGCCTTTGATGAGGAACTTTATCAAAGGCTTTTTGGAAGTCAAGGTAAACAACATCTATTGGGTCCCCTTTGTCCAAATGTTTGCTCACCCCCTCAAAGAAAACTAACAGGTTAGTGAGACAAGATCTTCCCTTACAGAATCCATGCGGAGTCTGCCTCAATAGTTTTTGTAAGCCCCTTAGAAGCCAATCGTAGGGGACCGAAAAAATCCTTCTTGGGGCCTGAAGCATCTGGTCCACCCCAAATGGCTTTGGGGAGTATGGTTGGGTAACAACACAAATTCCTATCTCAGATGAGTGTGAATACCATTTATGGCTTTCCCGTTGGATCTTCCCATATGCTCTAGCCTATGGCAAGTGCCCACCCAATAAGGTCCAGCACTTCAATGAAAATGTAGAAGTAGCTAAGGATATAGCATCCATTGCCCCAACATTCATTAATGAGCTTTTGGCATTTTTTTGAAAAAAAATTGTTATCTATGCACTGTATACAGAATGCAAAATGAAGGTAGTTCCTTTTAGTGGACACAACTTCACAAGCAAAATGCCATTTTCATAAGCTTATCTCCATAGATATTTTACATGTTACAGCAAACTTGGTCCTCCTTTGACTTGACTGTACAAGTCAAGTTCTCTAGTCTTTGGTTTTCACACCTGGGCCCCTATCTCCAGCCAGCACTCTGCCACACAAGCCACTTATTCTGGTCATCCAACCTACTATGCAGCGGCATTCCTAATATCTTGATATTTCATACTGCTCATCTGTTGGCTTTAAGAGACATACCTCTCTTTATCCTTATGCTCCTTCGTGGCCTCCCCACCCCTCATTACCCTTCAGTACCATGCCCTGGTAGATCTCTGTCTTTGGTCTTCATTTTTCCAGACTCACAACCTGAGCTGTCCTTAGGTCTCTCATCCCACAGAACCCCACTCTTTACATTGTGATGCTTTTGCCTCTGAGTACTTCCCAAACCACCAGACTGATGTCAGCTTTTACACCCCCTACAGATCCAGCCTTAAAATCCCCTTTAAAAATGAGCCTTTAGATACTTACAAAGTCAAAGTACATGCCATGAAAAGAGAAACTTATTCTTCCCCCCTTTTCCCTCCCTCCACTCCGCCTCCCTCTACTCCTTTTGCTGTCTTCCATGCATCAAAATATAGATTTTATGAGCCCAATAAAAGAGCTAATATTTCCTTTATAAAAATACTGAACTGATTGACAATTTAACAAGATAAGTAAAGGGCAAAAAGAACATGAATGGGTGTCTTACACAGGTTCAGAAATAAACAACTGTGCTGGCTGTTCTTCGTAAGACGGAGTTTCGTATGCATAGAAAACTTGAGAAACAATCTCACCCACAATCAGGTCACCAGGCTGATAAAATGCATGAGGAATAGGAAGAAGATCAACAGCTGTGGTACATTGAACAGAATGCTTCTTGCATACGGCATTGCACAACAGTAAAAGCAGCAGCAGCAGCAGCAGCAGCATCTTCCTCATGAACCACTGCTCCTCCATTCACAGATTTTTGTTACCAATTGCTGTGTTCTCAGTATTAGTTTTGTTCTGACTTTCCAGGATCAGTCAATGAATCTGTGGATGTGCTTGAGTCAACTTTAACCTATAAGGGAATGTCAGCAGAAGGTTCAGTTAAGGGATCTTTTTCTTTCCTCTCCTCCTTCAACATTCTTGTATGATTCACTGGCTGTAGTATTGCCCAGTTTAACTTTCTGTTAAGAAATTACCTCTTCTAAAATAGTTGAAATCATGAACTATGCCTGGGTGTGAAAAGGTAGCGGTAAATCTTAAATCAACAATTTAAACATCTCGGTGTTATGTTTAGTTATGTTTTATCTCGGAAGACCCATGTAAGTTCTGTCATAAGAAAGATAAAAATTACATCAATCATTCTCAAGAAATTCTTTTATATCAATGGTGGCCACTGTATTCTGCTTTTGTTAGTTATATAAGGCCATAATTCTCCCCAAATTGCTCTAGGCTGACTCAATCTGGGTCAACATACCACTTGATTCTCTTGTTAACTTCCAGCAAACTTTCTTCCATAAGATTCTTTCTCTTCCTTCCAGTGTACCTTCGGTCATAGTGCAGCTAGAATGGGGATTCCCTCTTCAGAGTGTAACTTTGTGATCCTGACCTCACTGAAAATATATTTCTTAAATGTATGAGATCAATTGTTCAAAAATCCAGCTCCACAGGAGGCAGCCAACTCATGAGGAGGAACAGTGGAAGGGCTGCGGTGCAGCCTCAACTCCAAAAGGGGGAGTGGACCCAGCATGTTTTTTAAAGGCTGGCTCTGCTCTACCCCTGGCAGTGCTCGCCTCATGCTTGGTGGGGTTAGACCTTTGAGCATGGAGGGAAGATTTTGGGCTACCTTTTTGGGGCCTGTCTCCCTCGGCGGTGGCTGATTCTGCAGTGGGACCAGCACCATGGGTGGCTGCATTAGCAGCTACAGCAGTGTGCGGGCCCGCGTCGGCGCAGGATGGTCAGCGGCCGCTTTTAGTGACTGTGGTAGCTTTCAGGGAGTGGCCCCTGTGATGCCGTAGCAGAGGCAGCGGCTGCGTTGGGACTATTGTAAATTTGGCAGCAGACGGCAGGGCTTGGTGGTCGGGTGCCGACGCCAGCAACGAGGCGTTTGATGGCACAGCTTAAGCCCCGTTAGGAAATTTAAGGATGACATTATAAAAAAGGAATGGAACTTTCTGAAACTTATTGGAAACCAACTGGGAAAAACTTACCATACTTTCAAGGAATGAAAACATAGAGACATGGTGTTGCAAGGGAAAATGGTTACAGATTTTTAGAAAGAGAAGGAAGATCTATGGAAGATTAATCAATAAGTTTGGGATTTGATTGGATGGATGAACCTGATAAAGTTTTGTTTAAAGATAAGGGGGTGGATGAAATAAGGGTGTATATAAGCATAATTAACTTTTGAATGGATGATGTGAGAGTCAGATAGAAATTAAGGAACGTTAATTAGAACTTATTGAAAACATGATTAATAAAATAATGTATGTGTAAGCTTGAATGAATGTAAAGGATATTGACAATGATTAACTAAAGTGTATGAATTTATAAATGAAATGTTTGGTGATGAAGGTAAAGGTATATTTAATTTTTAAAAAGATAAAAATGGAAAACTTGTAGTAAAAATGAAGGGTTGTGAAGATTAATATAATAGTAAAAAAACAGGGAGTATTGCAAAAATAAAGGAGATGGATAGTAATCCTGCGAAGCTGGTCTTGAAAAATGGAAAAATAAGTTATAAATATGAAATAAACCCCTAAATTATACATGATTAAAATAAGGAATAACTTATAGCTTAGTTGATTTTTAATTGGGATGTACTATAGCACTAGAGGCAATGAGAGTACTTAGCTGATTCCTGAGTAATGGATGTTTGATAATTGGCATCAAGGTAGATAGTGATATGGAATTTAAGGAATGCCATATGTAGAGATTAACACTCAGTTAATGATGAAGGTCTAATAAATATATGATTAAAAAAAAAGCAAACGAATCAGCCATCTAGGGCTGCCAAGTGTAGGCGGGGGGTGGGGAAAACCCTGCTTTGAAGGCCCGATTTCCACTGTGGCGGAATCGGGCCCCGGGGCATGGCCCAGATCATCGCACGTCACTTCCGTCAATTCGTCATGGCATGTTCCAATGATGGGCTGCCCGGGTGTGAGCCACTTACAGCGGGCTACATCCTGGGGGCCAGGTGCATTGCCTGTATTATGACAAGGGTGGGGGGTTGAGTTTCAGTGACCCCAGGCCTTGGGCCTTGACAATGCTGCTCATACTGATAGGTCTTGTCATTGTTTTATTAATAAATAAAGGGGCATTTAGTTTCAGATCCCACGGGGATCGAGAGAGCTCGGTGTATGGCCACTGGGGAGATCCAAAATATTTTAAAGGTTGGTTTGGGCCACTAATTGCCTCACCCCCTGTAAAGAGGTGATGGCATTAACCTTTCCGAGAAGGGAAATGATGTTTTCCTTCAGGATTTGCGGCAATGGCTTAAGCTAATTTTAGGTATTTGAGTGGGCTCAGGGGCCTAAGCAGAGGCTTGGCCCTTGCAGTGGCAGAATTAGGTTTAAATCAAGATCAGCAGCTACATAAGCACCAATCAATAACCCCATGGGAGGTAGAGGGGCCTGTGGGATCAACCCTGAGGCCATGTGGCCAGGGATGAGGCTTGCAGACTGCCTATGAGGATGGCCACGATGGAGACTCAGCGCTGGCCATGCTGTGGTGTTTGAGGGCTTGTGAAGGTGCATCCCAATAATTGGCTCAGCTGGGTTTGCAAGCGACTTACAGTTGGCTCCAACCTGGGGGCTTGGTGTCTTGCTTTTTATACGGTTAAGGATGGGGTCAAAGCGACACCAGGCCTTGACCGAGCCGCTGTTTCATGTTCGCCCTTGCAGTTACTTTAATATGTTAATAAAGTGGCCTTATTTCATCCAACCTTGCTGTCTGACTCTTTCTTCCATCTGAGGGGGCAAAGACTGGGCTGTGCTAAAACTCAAAGCTGATTGGAAACGGTTCCCTACTTAGTTCCTTTTATCTTATAAGAAAATGTTTGAATTGTCTAAATATTCCTTTTATCTAACAGTTCCAAAATATCATAGCTCTTTTCTGTTACCTAGATACAATACATTACCTTCCACTGAGATGAAAGGCCATTAGTAACCCCCCCTCCCCGGAAAAACGCTTCTGCACTTATTGTAAAGATCGTTAACTCGATTGCCCTTATTCATTTTAGTTGCCCCCATTATATTTCACTTTGTATTCAATGTATTACTGTTTTGAGTGACCATCTACTGAACACTTCAGAACAGCAGAACTAAAGATGTTGCTGACAGGCAAGATGCATGTGTGATTTAGTCACATTTATCTATGCAGTTATAAACTACTTATAAAGTACTCTGACATATGACTTGTAGGCTGTTAAATTATAGGGAAAGGAAAATAGATTTCTGTTTCAAAATGCAAATCAGAAAGCAAACCTTTGATGGTCTAAGTAGCAAAATTTCTGACCAATATCACATGATGCAGTGACCCCCCCCAAAAAAAAAAAATCCTGTAAGGGACACCACAGTAATGTTGTTTGACCAACTGATAGTAGATCTACTCCCCCCCAAAAAAAATAAAGTGAACGTGAGACTCTATGGAGAAATAGAGAAGAAATTGTGCTGAATTGGGACTGGATCCATCAATTTTTTTCACTCAACCTGAGCCAATTTCATACATACTACAACCCTCTTGACAGATGGCTGTTGTCTATGCAGCTCCTATGCTTATCAAAGTAGCCTTTATATGTGGTCAAGGAAAATAAAAGATAAGGCCCAGGCCAATGCTGCCAGTACAGAAAAAGTATGGTTTATTATTCAGCCATGTGTTTTGCCAACAAGCTTCTTCAGGAGATGATGTTAGTCTTTCTGGATTTCTTTCACAAGAGTACAACATTAATTTATATTTTATTTCTTAATTTAAATTTACTTTAAGTACTACAATTTATAATTTAATGTAAGTCTATGGCGAGTGCAATAAAGGATTTTTGAAAAGTAGAGCAATAAAATATAACGTTGATTTACCTGCACCAGCAGCCTTGGACTTATTTTTTCATCTCTCATTGACGAGTGTAGCCCTTTTATTTTCTCCTTGGTCAAAGAAGATGCCTCCTTACTTGTCACCAGCAGAACTCTGGTTGGATCCAACTTCTACTCAGCTTCTTCATATATTTTTCTGTTGTTCAAATGTATGAATCAGTGGGAAAATGCATGTACAATAGGAAGGATGATTTTAAAAGTCTGATAGAGCCCTGACTGTCCCTGTATCCAAGTCCTGCTGATATATGAGGATTCCGTATACAGTGGATTTTTCTTCCTTTGTACCGGCCCCCGGAAATTTGTTCTTGAGCAAGGGGGTGGGGGAAGTGTTTTTCTGCACTTTTTCCAAAGCTATAATATCCTTTTTAAGGTGTGGTGCCCAGAACTGCACACAGTATTCCAAATGAGGTCTCACCATTGATTTATATAAGGGCATTATGATATTGGCTGATCTGTTTTCAATACCCTTCCTAATAATCCCCAGTAGAGCAATAAAATATAATGTTGATTTACCTGCACCAGCAGCCTTGGACTTATTTTTTAATCTCTCATTGACGAGTGTAGCCCTTTTATTTTCTCCTTGGTCAAAGAAGATGCCTCCTTACTTGTCACCAGCAGAACTCTGCTTGGATCCAACTTCTACTCATCTTGTTCATATATTTTTCTGTTGTTCAAATGTATGAATCAGTGGGAAAATGCATGTACAATAGGAAGGATGATTTTAAAAGTCTGATAGAGCCCTGACTGTCCCTGTATCCAAGTCCTGCTGATATATGAGGATTCCGTATACAGTGGATTTTTCTTCCTTTGTACCGGCCCCCGGAAATTTGTTCTTGAGCAAGGGGGTGGGGGAAGTGTAATGACTGTGGCACTCCCTCCTGATTA